CGCTAGCCCCGCGCAAGCCCCGCGCAAGCCCCGCGCTAGCGCCGGTACTCGCCGATAATGACAAAAATGTTCATATATTCAGTCGCGTGCGCAATTATATTCATAGTTCTTTTATCGATTTTTATTTTTATATCGAAGAAAATACAGGAAGTGTAAATAAAACGATACGAATAAAAACGTTAATTATTTATTTTATTTCATTTCTAATAATATAAATTATAATAAAATAATTGTAGTCAGTTTTTATGTCAGTAGACAATTATTTCAAGCCGATATTATTAATGTCAAATTAAAGAAGTAAATAAACAAAACAGTGTTAAAATATCGTAAATATAATCGCGTAATATAAATAGTGCGCGGCGCGGCGCGGCGCAGCGGGATACAGCTTGCTTATGTAGAGAAATAAGTGAAGGCGATCCTGCCGATCCCCGCTCCGCGCGGTGTTCTCGAGGGAATCGATAGCGAAAATACATCTTATAATATAACTATATACTACGCATGTCCTACATTAACATCGCTCGAGATATGTATTTGTTAGTTAACTTACAAGCTAATTTATAAAAAAAAATCACATACATCTTGAGATTAGAATAAATAGGAGGACCGTTCACGAGACAGCGCTTGGAGAAACGGCGAGTCGGGCGGCTCGCTGGCCGATAAACATCTGACATATAGCAACAAATAATTCAACAAACGTTCTTTGGAAGAATAATTATATCGAAACATTACAAACGCGACGTGCGACCGAAGCGTTCGACTACCGAGAAGCCGCGCCCGGCCGGGGACTGCGGCCCGGAGCGACTACTGCTCGTCCTTGAAGCGGCGGTAGATGGACTGCACGTAGGTGAAGACGCACTTCCAGTCCGGCTTGCGCATCGCCACCATGTCGTCCACGTCCAGCAGGGGGTAGATGCCCGCCTTCTCTCTGGAAACGTTGTATTTATCGTGTCCATTCACTTTATAAACGACAAAGGTCACGATGAGATGAGAGAGATTCCACTACGAGAGAAACGAGCGTCTCGTGTAAATTTGTATACTCACTCGGCAATTTTGAAGGCGAGCGTGAAGTTGTGCCGGCGCTTGTCGGGCGAGAGGTCGCGGTAGTCGAAGGCGTCGGGCACGAAGCGGTGCACCAGCGCGCAGAAAGCCAGCCCGTCCGCCCAGCTCGTCGAGAAGTTCTCCAGTTTCACATTCTGAAGGCACAGGTCACGTCACACAACACCTCACCGCGTCTCTCTACTGCTAGTTAGCTTACAGTGACGAGCAGACGTGTCGTCAGATATTAGCAGATACATCCTTCGTTATCAAAGATTTCTTTGTAATTCAATTCATAGTAAATATATCTACTACATCATTAGGTTCCTCTCTTTTTCAGATTATAATTAACAGGAAAGTATTTACAAAAAAGTTATGTACAGGTAACAGTTAAATTCCTTAAATAAAACATTTAGAACACATTCAGCTTCAAGAATATATTATTAACCAAGTTAGCAAACGTGGGAAATTAAAATAATAGACAACAAAAAAATATTTTTTTAGAATTGTTAACGCTAAAATGAACGCAGCCGTTCCAGTCGCAGCTGGTGTTGCCCGACTCGAGAACACGAGCATGCTTTACAAACACCGTTATTTCTGTTAACTATTCGTATTTTCAACGTTAGTCTCCATTTCAACTATCTAGTTTTTTGTAAAAAAATAAAGTTAATATTTTTAATAACCACTCGATCGTTTATCATATTGTTTTGTGAATGATTTCGATATTGATGATTTATACGATACCAAAGTAATAGAAGTTGGTCGTGTGATGAATATGAATAGGAAGTATAGACTGTATGTTCTATATATACAAAGGAAGTTTAAAATACGAAAGTAGCACAGCCATAAAAAGCGTAAAAAGCGTGAAGTGTATGAGAGGCGTACCGCTGTACCGCCGCGTGCCGCTGCTCGCCGCCGCCGCCGGCAAATGCAAATCTTATAGTTTTATTTCAACTACAAATACGTCTTTATCAACAACTGAGGTAATTTAATAGTATCTAGATTGGTAAAATTTACGAAAGAAGACAGCACCTTTTTAACAACTAAAATCTTATTAATCATGAATGTTACTAGTTTGCGACTTTGAGAAACTTTTTGCAACGGATTAAAATAAAATTTACATTTGCCAATAGGAAGACGCTTAACAGCGTCACTTAAACAAACACGTACTTATTGAAGTAGGGTTGTGCCAAGTGAGCCGCCGGAATGCCGGCTGACAGTGACAGGTTAGTGAGTGCGAAGGAGCATCAGGGAGTAGAAGAGTGTCGGGAGAGGCGGGAGAGGCGGGAGAGGCGGGAGAGGCGGGAGAGGCGGAAGAGGCGGTGTGCAGGCGGGGCGGGGCTGGGCGCGGCGTGCAGTACCTCGTAGTCCCGGGTCTTGTCGCGACACCAGTGCAGCAGCCGTTCTTTTATAGTGACGGCGCTGGCTTGCAGCGCGGGATCGGTGAACTTGAAGTAGGGCTGCGACGGAGAGCCCGGGCTCTGCGGGCTCGCGGGCGCGCTACAAGCGGGACTCAGGTTAGTGCGAGCGCCACTGCCGACCCTGGCGTGGCTGTGTGGCCTACCACTCGCCCCGCTACTGTCTATATCTCGAGCCCTCATTCATATCTAACTAAGAGCATTTTCTATTTTGCTAGAATTTATCTAATAGGATAAGGCTGTTGGAAACCGAAGATAGCTTAAAATATTCATCGTAATTCGTGAATGTGGGAAATGAGTTTTACACATTTTTTTAAACGAGAAGAAGATTGAGTTGGTTGCACTTCTAGTTGAAGTTAATATCGCAGTTCTCAAGATTCTTATATGGTATTGGGAGTCTATCAGTCGTATAGAAGGAAGAGTAGTCGAGGAGCCGCCAGCTCCTGGCATCGGTTAGGCGGTGCGCTGTCACACGGAGGTGCGGGGCGCACGCGCGGTGCTGCGTGGCGGGAGGGGTCGCGGGTTATTTACAAAATACAATGTGGTGCTCGATTGAATTGTACTGAATGGTAAGTGCGCTGTAACTGATGAGGTCTGCCTGACGCCGGATGGAGGAGCTCTGAGCGGCTACAAGCCAGCGCGGATGACGTGTATCGATGAGGCGAGCGCGTGAGGTACTCTGTGTAAGCCAACGCCCGCTACTTCATAATCTCTTTCTACTTTGTAATGAAGCCACTAATAAAATGGTATGAATGTGGTATAACATTAATATTTACTTGTTTCCCTTATTCGTATCCACAGTCACAGCTGCCAAAATAAATAAATATTTGCATTAAAATAATATATGAAGCGAAAAATGTTCGATTTGAATTTATAGAAATTCTAGATAATCTATTTATGGATATTTGGTAAATGTATAAAAATAATAAAATATTATCATAAAATACTTGTATTACATGTCTGAATCCGGAAATACATTAAATAAATATGTAATCTGATATGCAAGACGTTCTGTACGTGTATGTACGTGTGTGTAGTGTGCGTGTGTGTGTGCGGCGAGGCACTTACTTGGGGGAATTGATGGTGTTTTGTTTCTCGAGCTGCCGGAACTTGGCAAACGGCGAGACGGGCTTGGGCGCCGCGCGCGTCATGCTCTCGATCACTGCACACGGAACATTTCAACGTTTAGAATGTGGACTTTATTGTTTTACAGTAGTATACGATGCAAGCTGGTCTGAGTGCGGGAAAACCTTTGGAATTTTTGATGGTGGTGCTGGTGCTGGTGCTAACGGTCTTCTCTGTGGAGTTCCTCCTTACGCTGGATGTCACCGTCGTTACCTCCTCCTCCTCTGTAAACAATTTACAATAGATCATCACATATCTTTTCTCTCATTGAATAGAATGCACAAACAAGAAAAAAAACCAATGTAAAACATAACAGCAAAACGAAACGTAATACTTAAAGCTATTAGTCAAAATAACACAGTTACAGGTGACGTACAGTAGTGGACACAAGTCTTGGGCTTAACGACATACTGCACACAAAGCAACTGTGACAGTGTCTGATGTCGCAAGAGAGCGACGGGGGAGGCGGGGACGGCGGGGGAGGCGGACGATACAATGTTATAGTTGTTAAAATCACAACACAGTTGATTCACAAAGATGCGAAGGTGCAGAGGATACGGCCCCCACTTCCGTCACTAAAAGCCCAAGATCCGTGTCGATTGCATTCAATGATCGGAGGTTTAACTAATATGTTTATGTACATCGAGTATAGGGGGGCGGG